GCCACGCCCCTTTGCCACGCCCCCCTCCCCTTGCGCCGGGGGAGCGGGGGCGCCGCCGGCGGCGCTGCCACTGCCGGACACCGGAAGTGAGGGAGGGCGGGGGCGCGCGGCGCGCGGGGCACGCCGGGACAGCGCGGGGGCTGCGCTGAGGCGGGGGCGGCGGGAGCCCCGGAGCGCTTCTGGTCTCGGTCTCGGTCCCGGTCCCGGTCCTGGTCTTAACCCCGCTCCCGCTCCTGTTCCGGACCTCTCTGAGCCTCCCCGGGTGTCTCCTGCCCCCGGCAGGTGCACCTGGCTCTGGGAGGGGCGGCTGTGCGCCTTCAGCGGGGCGCGTCCCCTAAGCCCCACCGCGGGATGGAGGGCGGGCGGGTGTAGGAACGGGGCAGTGCCGCAGGCTCCTCCGGACCTTGCAGGGAGAAACAAAAATCGCTTTCCCCTTCTTGTACGCACTGAGATGTGTTTCACACAATCCCCTGAAATGAAATAATGTAAAATAAGTGCAGTTCGGAGCCCCCTGACCTGTAATGGCCAGAGAGCGAGGCCGGTGGTCGGGGAAGGATGGAGATCACAGCGGATGGAGATCACAGCCAGCTCCGCAATGGAAAACCTCCCGCTGCAACAAAGGGCAGGGCTTTGCCCTCTTGACTGTCGCGCTGAAGGATCTGACAGAAACTGCCCTATATTTCAAAGGACGGAGCTTAACAGGGCAGGAGAGGTCTGGAGCGTGGGGGAAGTCGGCACGGTCGCACGATGGCTGCGGTGAACGGGGAAATCGCTCTCAATGCTGTGCGGTCGCTGGGTTGTGAAAGCAGGAGCTGGTCCAGCAGATAAAACGTTTGCAAACTGTTTTATCAACATCTGCGTGCTGTGATTGCGCCCGAAACTGGGGAAATACGTGTCTGACCAACGGGGCTGGCCGTTTGCATAGTTAACTGACTTAGGTGTGTAATCACGGTGATTGCCTGGATAATTGCATGCCGAAGGTTTAAAAATTTCCTCCGTGGTTTCCTTTCCCTCATCCTATGTATTTCCTTCATCTCTGGCTTTCAAGTAGGCAGACCTGCTGTCGAAACCTTACACTTGACTCTTATGCCTACTCTTCATTCAAATCCATTTCTATAAGGTGCTTTTAATCCCTAGGACGTCCCCTCGCAAAAAGTGTATTTTCCACTTTTTAATCTGTAATTTAAATAAACGGATGTTCCATCATGTGTTTTCCTCCCCCCGTTTCCTCCCACATACCCTAAATACCTTTAATTTTGAAAAGACTCTGAATAAACCTGATTAATGAAAACAAAATGCCTTTTCACTCCAGCATGTTTTTAATTACCTCTTCATTTTATATTGCAACAGAGTCCAAGCACCACCTTCCTAGAAAGAGTTCCATTAAAATGCAAATGAAGACTTTGCAGAAGTTGTTAATGCAACCAAGGACAATTTCTTAGACTTGAGTAGCACAGAGTCAGTGCTGGGTGGGGGTTCCTGCTGCCACCTGCCCTTTCTGCACACACAATCCCGTGTAGAACACGTTTTCCAGTCTCTCTCACCTGTGGGTGAGGAGCACCAGAGCTGAACAAACAAAATCCCTTTTCCACCCTGAATGCTCAGGCTGTTTTTCCCGTGAATCTGTCCCCCCCACGCCTCCAGGTATCAAATCCTTCTGTGCTTTGACTCCATCCTTTTTTTAGGCTGAAATACAAAGGTTAAAGGGGATGTTGAAAGCGGAGCTTGATCTTTATGCCATTATATCTTGTTTTGCATGACATTTGCATCATACCTGGCTGCAGCTGTAACTATTCCTGCCTCTGTTTGAGGCCAAGCTTCCCCTGTTACCCCAAAGCTCCTCAGGTGCAGGATGTACGCTCCCCTCCTTTCCTCCTGCCCAGGGTTTCTTCCCTAGGTCTTTGTTGGGAGAAAGCATTTCTTCCTGTGGTATTTGTTTGTGTGTCAGGCTGGGCTGACTCCCCCAGAGCAGCAGCAGCTGCTGCCTGGGCACTGCCCTGGGGAATGCTCCCAAGAGGGGGAGGGTGGCAGCAGGCCCTGTTTCCCAAAGCTGTTCCACACAAAGGATTTCAGGAGACTTGAAAAGCTTTAATATTCTTTTGCCAAGCCCCCTCTCCTTTAATTAGAAGTTTGTGTTATATTTTAGGTAAATGCTGCAATAGCTCAGCGTGCACTGAGAGGTGCTTTCTCCTCAAGAAGAAGGAAAGGATGTGCATGGAAAAATAAGAGTTTGGAGGGAAAATCGGGGTAATTGGGGTAGTTCCTGTGATTTTTGGCGTGCAAAGGAGAGATTAGGAGTGTAATATCATGTCAGAGGTTACAGACCATGTGTTTTCCAGCCTGAGTCCACATCCCTTGCTACCCACCATACCACAGGTTCTACCCTGGCAAAGACTGGTGGTATCACACTACTAAGGGGTTTTTGCCACAACAGGTAAAGATCATATTCCTGTAGCACAAGAATGCTTGGATTTGCCCTGATATGTTCCTTTTGCTCTACCAAGAGCATGTGAGCACTTGGACCCCCAGCACAGCCACGCTGAGACCGTGTGCCAGTGCTCCATCCTCACTGAATGGGCAAATTAAACACTATGGGCTGTTGAATTTTGCTGCTTTTTCGGTGTCCCTGCACGTCTGTGATTGCTCCCTGCACAATCTCCAAGGAAGTCAGCACCATCCTCCCACTGTCTCCTGCACTGGGGTATGGTGGGACCAGAGCAGGGGAGCAGAGGAGAGCTGGCTGGGTGCTGCATTCATACCATGTCCCACTTGCAAAAACATGGGATTGATGAGGTTGGAAAAGACCTCCAATATCATCAGGTTCAAGTGGTAACCCAGCACTACCAAACTCACCACTAAACTATGCCACATCTGCCATTTTTTGAACACTTCCAGGGATGGTGATTCCACCACTTCCCTTGGCAGAAATTCCCAAAATTTGCCAATATGGGCAAAGAAATTCCTGGTCAGAAATGCTAAATCATCAGAAGCACTGGGCATTCTCATTTCAGCTCCTTTTTCCAGCTCCTCTCTACTTTATGTTCATTGCAGTTGTAGGAGATTCTATGTTTGATAAATTAAAATGATTTCCTGTGTCTCCTTGTCATGTGGGCAGTTTGGGAACACATTGACAAAATCTAAATGGTGTAACTACTGTTTTTTTTCTCTACTAAAGTACTGTAGAAATAGAGGTTCCAAAGCAATCCTGGGCAATATGTGATCTGTGATCTCTGCTCTCAGTGACCTCTGCTGTCAGTGATCTCCATTTTGTTTCCGTGCTCTCTACAAGGTAGACTTGGCTCTCCATCACCAAACCCTGCTTTTCCCTAGGTACAGCAGGAAGAAAGCCATTTTGCAGAGCTCTGCTTCTGCCCTTCGCAGCATCTCTGAATCCCTGGAAATCCTGTGACCATCAGCTTTGTGCACAGCATGGAGAGCAGCTGGCAGATGTCAGAGGAAAGGGTTAAAGGACCCACATTCCTGTCCCCACTGCCCTGACCAAAGGTCAGGGGTTCCTTAGGTGAAGGAAAGGAGGGAGGTGGTGCAGCCCTGACCAGGTCATTTGAGGAGTGAACCACATCTGAGGGGAGCTAATGAAGCTGCATTTGTCTCTCTCACAGGCTCATACTCCCGGTCTGTGCCGGGCAAGTCGGAATTCCTTCTCTAGTGGGAGTGAAGATGTCGATTGTATTTTTTCCATGATGTGTATTGAGGCATTTGCTGGGTTGTGGGAGTAAACACTTGGGGGAATTCTCCATGAGCTAGCAAGGGCAAGTCAGAAGCCTACTAAATATGGTGAGTAAAGATTACAAAAAACCCTGGAGAATAAACCTCCCTCTTTCCACCCCATCTCCCCACCACCACCACCCCCGCAGATTTGTTCTCGTTATCCTGTGCTATGTTTCACTGCTGGCTGGGTAAACCTGCTGCCATTTGTGGGACTAAACACATTGTGCTGATTTAGGTTTGTTTTCTGCACCGAGGGCAGTGCTGGGGTGGTCCTTCATGGCTCCACCACGCACTGAGACATACAGGGCTGTCCTGCTGGAGCAGAGACACCAGATACTCAACAGGGGGGAACAGCAGGAAATGCTCTCAGGTCTGTAAATACTTGAGGGGGTGAGAGATGATG